GCTCGGCGACCATTCCGGCTCTTCACCGGCCTATCCCCGCCCCCCGCGCGCTTTCTCCGACCCCCCTCTAGGCCCGCCGCCCCGCGCGCGTGCTGGTCCGCCGACGAACAGCGTCGGCGCGCTCCCTGCCGCTCGACACCCACAAGGTGTTCGATAAAACGCCTAGAAGGTATGTATTGCTCAAAAGCCATGAATTTCGTGCATGTTGATTGTAGTTTATTATTTATAGCATAGTATTCAACATTGTAGATGAGTTCGTCGTATGATTCTTTCGAAGAAGAATTTGATATGGAAGAGGAGGAGGATCTTGCAATGATCCTAGATATGCATATTAATAAAAAACCGAAGCACGGTGGTTTGGTTATGGGTCGGCAAAAAATTTGAAGGGATAGGATCGATGCCCACAACAGATTGATCAGGCATTATTTTGCGGAGAATCCCACATACCCCGAGTCGTATTTTCGTCGCCGGTTTAGGATGAGCACCGAGTTGTTCAGGCGCATTGCAGAGAAACTAGCGAGCCATGACCGCTTTTTTCAGCAAAGGAGGAATGCCGCCGGAGAGCTCGGGCATAGCACCTTTCAGAAGGTGACAGCCGCTTTGCGTATGTTGGCATACGGTATACCGGCTGATCTAGTTGATGATCACTTGGCTATGGGCGAGAGCCAAGCCATCATGTGTGTCAAGCGCTTCGCAGTCGGAATTATGCAAGTGTTTGGCGAGGAGTATTTGAGATCTCCCAACGCTGAAGACGTCGCAAGGCTTTTGGCGATAAACAAAGCTCGCGGCTTTCCTGGCATGCTTGGCTCAATAGATTGCATGCATTGGAGTTGGAAGAATTGTCCAAAGGCATGGCATGGGCAATTCCACGGCCAAAAAAAAGGTTCCACTATAATCCTTGAAGCGGTGGCCGATCAAGAGACTTGGATTTGGCATGCATTCTTTGGAATGCCTAGATCTTTGAATGACATCAATGTTGTCAACCGGTCACCACTGATGAGTAAGATTGCAAATGGGGAGTTGCCACCGGTGCAGTTTATAGCAAATGGCCGTACATACAACTATGGCTATTATCTAGCGGATGACATCTATCTAAAGTGGCAAACCTTTGTCAAGCCGTTGAAAAAGCCAGAAGGTAAGAAAAATCTTGATTTCCACAATGCTCAGGCGGCGGCTAGAAAAGATGTGAAGAGAGCTTTTGAAATTTTGCAAGCCCAATTTGCTATTGTGAGAGGACCGGCTAGATTTTGAGATCAAAAGATGCTTTGATACATAATGCACGCTTGTGTGATCATGCACAACATGATCATTGAGAATAAACATGGTCAAGATATAGACTACTCTCAGTATGAGCTCTTGGGATATCCCATACGAGTGCGACGGAGGGC